AAACAAGGTCTGACCCTTAATACATTATGATACGACTAGTGGTGCACATAGATAGATTTTTTTTTAAATCTGGATTAATCTCACTGTAAAATTTTTATTAATCTAGATTAAAATCACTCATTTGAATTCTGCCAAAGGCATTCATGTGCTAACTACAGAATTTAAAATCACACGTAATTCTGTCTTCTTACTTAAGCTTTCGAGAAAGTTATAAATACCTTTTTGCGCATTTGTTACTGTTTTTGTGCTGTAAAAAACAGAGTGACCCACTTCCACTTATAGGTGCCCCACTTTAACAATACAGTGTCTCCAAAACTCCTTGCCTCAATCAAGTTCTCATCTTTCAGGGCTTTCTCCGCGGCGTGCTGGACATGTATTCTCCTCATGATAGTTCGCCTCACACGTAGTTTGTAAGTTGGGTTACCTGTGGCCGCCTGGAGAAATAGTCTGAGCCCATCGTTGGCAGCTTGTGGCTATCCACTGAACGAGGAGATTAGTCATCTTGGCTGATAGAGCTGTGCTTATAGCTGCATCCATGTCAGCACACATTTTTTTCTTATAAATAGTTTATTATCTGATTGTGGCGCATGGGGTGATTTGTTTCTAAGAACAATGCATTGGCCGGTTTAACGTTTTAAAGGAAAATTCCGGTTTTTAACACTTTTAGCCCATTTTCTGTAGTGTCCAGGATGAAATCGAATGATCGACACCAAAATTTTGACGATTGGTCCTGTCTCTGCTATTTGGCTCATGCAGAATCCCCCCCTGGCTGCTTCAGAATGGCTTCCATAGTGCATGTCCGATAATGTCCTTAAAACAACCTTAAACGTTCTTTTTTTAAAATATGCTACTCACCGGGTCGTCAGCGCTGTTCAATGACGTTCCAAAAAAAGTTTCGTGGAGAAAAACCGTTCCTGTCTTGTTTTATTTAGCATTTTGTAAATCCCAGAACTATTTTTTCCGATACATCACAACCGCTTATAAACTTCCGCTTCCCGTTCGAATCTGAAGCGTTGCACACTCCAGACCACTAGTTGGCGACGGTATCCTCTACCGTCAAACTCAAAGTCCAATATGTCCTCCTCAAGAATCCACCTTTCGTATTCCATTTTCAGAGTTTTTTAAAGTGTTTAACAGAGACGTTAGCACCTCGACGTCGGAGTACACAGAGTGAAGCAGAAACACTTGGGCCTTGCGAAAAGACTACAACTAAGCGTAAACAGGCCCCATTTCCGTTTCCGGTGGCGGAGGGATATTGACTATTCCAACAGAACTCAATGGGATTTACAAAATGCTAAATAAAACACTACAGGAACGTTTTTTCTTTACGAAACATTTTTTGGAACGTCATTGAACAGCGCTGACGACCCGGTGAGTAGCATATTTTAAAAAAAGAACGTTTAAGGTTGTTTTAAGAACATTATCGGACATGCACTATGGAAGCCATTCTGAAGCAGCCAGGGGGGATTCTGCATGAGCCAAATAGCAGAGACAGGACCAATTGTCAAAATTTTGGTGTCGATCATTCGATTTCATCCTGGACACTACAGAAAATGGGCTAAAAGTGTTAAAAACCGGAATTTTCCTTTAAGGTACTGTCGGCAGAGATAGGGGATCTGGAGTCATCAAGTCATCTCTATGTCATGTATTTGTTCTGACCAGGTGAGTCCAATCTGCACATGTTAAACCAGATTGGACTCACCTGGTTCAGTGGCTGGGTAGAACAAATACATGATAGAGAGATGACTTGTTGACTCCAGATCCCCTATCTCTGACTGTCGGTATATCATGGTATTAAAACCATGATATACTGACAGTGGCGTAAGCTGAAGGAGTTTGCCTTGAAACCAGATGGTTGTCGGTTCAAGCCCCAGCTTTCGGTGTCATTGTGTCCTTGGGCAGGACACTTCACATGCATTGCCTACTGATGGTGGTCAGAAGGCTCGATGGCGCCAGTGTACGGCAGCCTCGCTTCTGTCAGTGAGCCCCAGGGCAGCTGCAGCTACAATGTAGCTTGCCACTATCAGATGAGTGAGTGTGTGAGGTAATGGTTGATGTAGTGTCAAGCGCTTTGGTCAAGTCTCCTGACTTGAAAAAGTGACCATGAATAGCATAGGGGGCTGTCCCACACTTTTCCTATTTAAACAGATTTAATTGATTTTCATTTGTACTGTATACTTTTGCTACCATAGGAAGGCAAATGGCTTGGTTGTAATTTTACAGTACACCTACACAGGTTGGAAGACTGATTGGTTCTGGCCCCCAGATATACATCTGAGCTGAAATATCAAGGTGAACATCATCATTAGTATAGACACAGCTTCCAACTTAACTGTGAGAATAGATTAATGGCATTTTTTTTCCTTTATCACCCGATAAGAGCCCGATCCTTGGCCAAGGCCATTAAGGCTAACAGGCTACTCCATAGTCATGAATCTAACCACCACCACATATGACAGCAGTGGTGTCAGATGCAGACTGTGGGAGTTTTACAGACGGGTCCTCTGAGGTACGCTTATTATTGTACAGAACGAAGAGAAGTTGGGAGAAAACACACCCCTTGGGTTCCAGGTAGTGATGCTTGTTTTATTGGAAAGATGCTTACCTTTTCTCACCTCCTGATTATTCGAGAGTTGTCCAATGTGCATACCTTTTTTCGATGCCTTTCAGTTACAGACTTTGAAAACCTGAAAGGTTAAAGGAGGGATTGTTTGTCCGTTTCACGGGTAATGAGAAAGATCTTGTGTGACCTATAGTCAGTTGTGAGCTTGTTACAGAGTTTAGTTAAAAAGACGACACTTTCCATCTCCTTTAAGGGTCATAAAATATCCACCTTGCATGCTTTTGTCTCACTAAAAAATCTCTAAACACCACCAAGTATTACCTCTAGGCAACCTCTAATTAAAGCTTTTATGTGCAGTGCAGTTTTTACACAGTTCTCTACTTTGTATTGGAATTCATAATATCACTCATTATGTCACTCATATTAGTTCTGTTAGTTTGGGCTTATTTTAACAAAGAGAAGAACTTGCCATTTTCTATAGGTTGTGGTCTTAAACATTTTGCAAGACCACATTTTCATTTAGTCCTCATCAAGTATAGCCTTTAGGGTCTGCTTCAATCAGATTTTCCTTTAAGTTTCTTCCATTTTCCCTTTTATTCACCATTACCCCATGTTCCTCCATGTCTGTCTTTTTATAATTGGTGTTGTCCCATTTCATATTCCTCATCGATGCACCACAGCTGTTGTTAAGGGCTCTTCAGATCCTCACTCAGTATTCACTCTCTGTGAAAGCCTGACTCTTGGCACCTAGTGTTGCCATGTGTTGGCCTATCCATGCACTCATATCATTTTCCAAAGCTGGATGTCCGTCAACGAGAGGCAAGGTTTGGATTTTGTCCAAAGACAAGTCAGTACAGAGTAGGGACAGTAGTAATGTACATTGAGCAGAGTTTATTGCAATTATAGCCAGACTAGTAATGATTCTTATTGTCTCTTTTTCTTTAGTAACATTTTATGTAAGATTTTGTTTGAGCAAGGATCAAAACTTTCATTGTACTTTAAAGCTATAGTATTGGCAAATCTACCTCACTGTCTTGCATACTTCAGTTGTACAATTTTCTTAACTGTTACGTTGTAATCATTCCTGTTCCATAGCAAAAAACAAGGGTTTTTCGTTGTCTTTTAAGTGAGGCATATACAAATTTTCTGTGGTTTCTAAAAGAAGCCTATTTTAAATTTTTCTTGTCATGCCTTCTAACTTCGCTCTGCCATCTCTGCTGCCTTTCAGGTTGTTGGTTATTTCTCCTTTCTGTCATTCAGTTACACAGCACACCTCCTCATGCATTATTAAACATGTTAAAGGCTGAGTTTGAAGTTCTGTATGAGCAGATGCTTTATGTTACATCCTGCTTTGCCTTTAGCCAACCTGCAACAACTGGAATTAAACAACTGTTTAATTGGAATTAGAACATTGGTTGCATAATTTTACCTCCACTTCTATGACTGTAGTCTCAGTTCTTTCCGCTCTGGTCCTTACTGGCGCTTAATGTCCCTTCTCCACAAATAGCAACTCAGAGAGATTCCCTTCTGGTCATTTTTCCTTTTCATGTTTTCCATCAGTAACAATCAGATGTAATGGTTGCTGTTTTAACCATTCAAAAATAAAAGCAAAATATAAGGAGGAATGTCAATGACGCCTTGCAATTAAAGATCCCGTCCTCTGTGAGATACTACTCCATCGTCATAGAAAATAATCAAGCCAAATTAAACTGACACAACCCATCCTGTCCATAATATAATAGGTTCTAAAGGAAAAGAGGTATAAAAACACGAAGAAAAGTCTGTAATTTGGAGCTAATTGTCTGATCGCAGCATCATTTATACGCCTTGTCATTGAGGTGGGAGTCAACTAAATACTTCATGATGGGAATAAGCAGAGGTGGTTAAAAAATTTTACAAATACATAGTTTTTAAAAACAATCTACAAATAGGCTAGAAGCTGTGAACTGTGGAAAGGTCAAGTGGAATGGGAGGGGATGTGGGTATAAATCACAGTTTAGGGTAAAAGTTCCTGGTACATTAAAGAGCTTAAGATAACGCATGGAGCTATTTGGCTGACCTGCATTTAAAAAAGGTTGCTTTGAGACAAACAAGTCGATCTGTAAATTAGCTGGATTGCAGATGCAGCAGGGTGAGATTTTACTCGGTTTAAAGTTAGAGCATAGAGTGGTTAGTTAAAATCTTCAACTAGCACATTTTCCAATAAAATCATTTAAAAAATATTATTATTTTCTCTAAAATTGCAGGTTTTTTCAATTTTTCTAATTTTGTTCTATGACGACTTGTTCCTTCTTTCCTCATAATGGTCTTAATAATTTAGGGGAAATATTTTATAATATTAGTCTTCCCTCTGCCAGTGCATATAGATAATGATCTGGATATTTTTGTATTCTTCTACTGACTGATACCTTTGGTTACAATGTCATGTTTTCAGCAGGCCCTTTCTGTAATCGGACATGGGATGGCTGGATGTGCTGGGACGACTCAATACCAGGGACTGCCATTCAGAAGTGTCCATCATACTTTGATGACTTTGACCCTAGTGGTAAGACATTCTGAAGCATTGCATACATGTATCTTTTTTTTTTCTTCGATAATATGGATGCCCTACTTCCTAAAAGCAATAACTAATGGCAAGTATACCTTTTGGCTGTTGAATTTCTCATTATTTTTTACAACAGAAACAGTCACCAAAGTTTGCAATCCTAACGGCCAATGGTTCCATCATCCAGAAAGTAACAGAGTATGGACCAACTACACATTATGCAATACCCTCAAAAAAGAAAAACTAAAGGTAAATATCATCTTCTTCCATCTTGCTTTCCTTCTTAGGAAAAACACTTATGTGAATTACAACTACATTTATTGCTGAAAACTGTTAAGTATTTAATCTTCAGGTGTATTCAGTCACTCTCCCCACAAATGCATTAAATGTATTTTTAAATTTTAATTTGTTATTTGAAAAAAAAAATACCATGAGCACATTTAGGGAGCGATCTGACACGGTTTGTGCACAGTTTTAATCTATGTTAACCTCTAATCTAGCTCATAGCTGAGTAGCTGCAGTGACGAAATGATCTGGCTGCGGAGGTGTCAAGTAACAAAGTAAAAATACCTCTTTACCTTATTTAAGTAGATATTTTCGCTATCTATACTTTACTGGAGTAATTAATTTGTAGACAATGTTTTACTTCTACTCCTTATATTCTAAAAACAGACTCAGTAGTTTTTTTTTATTCACTACCACTTTAGTTATGGCCTGTTGGTATTAAAATAATAAAAAAAAAAAACATCAAAATAATTTCTTTTATCCAAACAGTTTCTTTGTAGTTGGATTCAGTACTGCAAACACATAGTGAAATAAATCATTTTTCAAGATGATGCTAAGCTAAATTTGACTGTTGCCATTAGTTATAAAACTAAGAAAATTCAGTATAAGGAAGTTATCATCCAGAAAATGTTCCTTTAATAGGGTAGTGCACTAACAGTTCAATGTTTTAAGCATCGGTACTTACCATTTTTCCTGCATTACTTTTAGTTTTACACATTCAAAGTATAGTGGAGGAATTTTGCGAATTTTTTAAAAGACCAGCCCTCTCTACTTAAAAAAAAAAAAGTAGATGCACAACCCTGTACCTGCTCCTGAGAGGGAACGCCTAATAAACACGTGCAAGAGCGTGCATAAGCTCATTTCTCCTCGTGCACGCTCTGTTAAAAAGTTACTGTTTGCATTGCTCATTCAAGCTTACTTTCCAAAAGAAGATTTGCAATTTTTCCACTATGTCAGACTCACCACCTTGTTACACCCTACTCCCTACCAAGAATTACCTCTCCTCTCGCACACTGATGAGAAAACGGATTGATGTATAAATGAAAATGGGAGCTTTTAAACATACTCTTAATTTTTTCATATTTCTTATGCTTGGATGCCCTAAAATTGAGAGTTTTGGTGGACAGATAAATACAGAGAAATTCCTGCCTGCTGAGAATTACCTCTCCTGTCGCAGAATGATGCAACGGCCTAAACTCTCACTTAATGATGATAAAAAGGATTGAAATATGAATAAAAAAGGCAACTTTTTAAAAAAATTCTTAATGTTCTGTCAGAAAAAAATGTTGATAGCAAAAAATAAAGTTCAAAAGCAGGAAATGCTATCCACTTAGCAGAGAATATATTAATTAGAAACTGACTGTATGACATAGATTAAAACGTGTCTCCATACAAGTAAAAATCGTATTTATTTTCTAATCAGTGTGCGAGAGGGGAGGTAATTCTTGGCATGGGGTTTTGGTGAAAACGGGGACAAGCATATAGGACGGCCTTATGTAAACATATAACCAGAATGATTGAGAATTAGGAGGACCACTTATTTGGATGATCTACCCGGAAAACAAGCATCTCCACTATACCTTTAAGTAGTTTTAAAAATTTTACTTTTACACTTTTACTTTAGTAAAAATGTTAAGTTCTACCTACTATTACTTTTGACACCTCTGCTTCTGTCTCCCTGAACCTCATTCGGCCTCGGCAGACGGCCACTCACACTGAGCCTGCTGGAGGTTTCTTCCTGTTAAAAGGGAGTTTTTCCTCTCCACTGTCGCTACAAGCATGCTAAGTGTGAGAAATCGCATTCGAGTCAATGAGGCCGGTTTTCCTTAGATAGAAAACTTTGACTCAATTTGACTGTATGATCTGGTTGAACTGTAAAGTGCCTTGAGATGACTTGTGTTGTGAATTGACGCTATTTAAATAAACTGAATTGAATTCAATTGAAACTCAACCGGGATGCAAATGCTATTCATGCTGATTTCTTTTAAATAACTGAACTTAGAATCATCTAAAACTTACTGTAGGATTAGATCTGGCAACATGTTGGGTTTATCTCTGAATTAAGTGCCAATAAATACAAATTAAAGCAGTAAAACCAAAGGCCATTTAAATAACACTTTTGTTCATGTGTTGCTTTAGTGTTGTTTTGCTTGCAGTTCTGTGTTATAACTATGATCAAACCTTTTTGTTCTGCAGGTTATACTTAGCCAGTATTACCTGGCTATGGCAGGTCATGGTATTTCCATCATCTCCTTAACAATCAGCTTATTCATCTTCTCCTATTTAAAGTGAGTCTACAGTTAATTTGTCTTTTAATCTGTGTTTCCTGATTATTTATTTTATTTAGATCTCTAAATAATAATAGCAGAGAAATTCAATTGATTTTAAAGCAAAACAGCAGCATTTAATTTCATTTTTGATGTTTGCAACTGATTTTGTGCTTTTGAAAATATAACCAAAGATGTGCATTCTCCTTCCCTTGTTTCTTTATTCCTTTAGGATCCTTAGCTGTCAGAGAATCTCTCTCCACAAAAACATGTTCATGTCCTTCATTTTCAACTCCGTCTTTACCATGGGATGGCTTTCAATGATGGTTAACGGACGTCATGCCTTAGAAGCCATCAACCCTGTGAGCAGCTAAAATTTCACTACATCTAACTTATTTCTTTGTTTGATAAAGTCAGAGTTACATTATGTAAACTACAGCCAAACAAAATCTTTTTTGTAAGATTTTCTATTTTCTTCTTTGTACTAAAATGATAAAAATGTTAAGATTTAATGTCTTCTGCTCATGAAAAACTTAGATTATTTTATATATCATCAGGTTGGCTGCAAGATTCTGGCTACGTTGGTTCAGTACACGTCTACTTCCAACTACCTGTGGATGCTGTGTGAGGGCATCTATCTCCACACACTCATCATAGTGGCTGTCTTTGTTGGAGAACAGCAGCTTTTTTGGTACTATGTCCTGGGATGGGGTGAGTCAGATACATTTCTTTGGACCACTACTTACAAAACCTATTTGATTTCGGGGTGAACAATGATTATTTTAACAGGCGAGTAATCTATTAATTATGTTTTCAATTTGGTAAATAGTCACAATATTTTTTTATAATAATCCTAATATTTTTAAGTGGATAATGACAATTCAGTGCTTCTACAAATATTTTAACTCAGTCTTTCCAGCAGAAGGTCTGATTGCATCGCTGGAGGGGCTGGAAGGTTTACTGGATCTGTCTTGAGGCCAACTGTTGGACTCACCAAAGTCCTTCCAAGCAGGATTTTTTTGTCTTGGCTCTCAGCTGCCTCGGGAGTCTCACAACCCAGCCAGGCTCAATTGGACGCCATCAGCTTTATCCTGCATTCACACTGACTGTATGTTGGGCATCAAAAAGGCATCCAAATCTTATCTTGGGTTCTTGTGTACTTTGAAGTCAGATGCACATCTTTGAAGTATTTTGCTTTTTTGACTACCTTACCGACTGCCCCTGATTCTCAAAACACATTCGGTGTGAACACAGCATAACAGCATCGGTTACTACTCACATCGCCTTACTGTCATGTTAAATTTGCAGATAACTTAGCTAAACCTCACAAACGCTCTCTGAGACTCACCTTTCACTGCCTTACCTAGTTATAAACCGTTGCTCCACAGTCTTTGTTGTGGCTGTGTTTTATTTTCTTTGACGAAAGTTTCCATCCAATCTTCTATTATAATCCTTTACTAGTTTGGTTTTAACAGCATTGTGTGCAGCTTGGTCATGATGTGGGACGCTGGCAAAGCTCTGTGACAATGACTGCAGCTCTGCTGTCCTCCCATTTAGAAAGGGCGCCTGTAAACATGTATTTTATTTTTTATTTCTCATTTGACAGTCAAATGCGGGACATTGATTTGGTTTGTGGGATTGTGGATGACTGTGACTGATTTTGATGACAGGCAAAAATGCTAGACTGTCCCAACACCGGTCGGGATGCGGAAAAACATCATGTTCTTCAGGAAGTTGGTAAAGTTGAGTTTGAATACTTGTCAGGCTCAGAACAAAAGGACCCAGTGTTCAAGGTGGAAAGACAGTTAGATTTAATAAAACCTTTATTTAAGACGAAACTGCAAATAACGGCATTGGCGTCTAAGGCAGGAACCTCTGTGGAAGGAGACAACAGGTTAGTTACCACGTCTATCTGCCAGAGGATGATAATGAAGATGAGAGACACTAACCTGGTCTTAGTACGTGTCCAGAGGATGAGGTTGGTTCCAGGCGGTCGACTACCAGCGAGACATGGCGGGCGCCCCCCAGAGAGCCTCAGTTGTGGTCTCTCAAAGGTCTGGGATGAGTACGAGATCAAAACCAAGCAGACGAAGGAAGACAGGATATTCCAGAGGTTGAAGCTAAAGCAAGACATGCTTGGTAGACAGAGCCAGAAGATCAGAGGTCTGAAGAGTTACCGAAGGGAAATGCAGAACGGTGTTCAGAATCAGCTCCAGGTTCAGTACACAGGGAAGCAGAGATCCGGTAGCAGTCAAAATAAAGGTAAGGGAAACAGATCATAACAGGAACAGGCAGTAGTCAAGAGGCAGAACGGGTTGGGATCAGGCGATCAGAAAACACAGGTACGTTAGAGAACTCTCATCAAAGGCTCAAATAATCTGGCACTGATAACTGGTTGAAGGCTGCTTAAATAGGGACTGGAGCAGGTGAATCAGATGAGCGGTAATGAGAGATAGACAGGTGAGTGAAATGAGTAATTAGACCAGACATCAGCATCAAGCTCATAACAATTCTCTGATATTTACTGAACAACAGACTGGACTGAAAGTGCAGCAGTGGAGCTTGTTGATCTTTACTCTGTGGAAAGCGCATTCTGTTTATAATCATCTGAAAAATCAGAGCCAGTAACTAAAAAGCTGCTTAAGTGTTCTGGTTGGTTTCTTGGGAGTCCCGGACCCTATTTCCACCCTTTCACTCATTCTCCTTGGCATGTTCTCAAAGGAAGTGCTGTCCAAATACTCCTAAAAAGCTTTTCAAGCATAATTTCATAAATGTTTTTATGATGCAGGTAAGCACTAAACGTCACACCTGATTCAACCCTTTCTATTTTTCTGTTTAATGAGTGTAACTATCTTAAGACAGATAGTTTAGATCACAGGTGTCAAACTGGTTCCAGAAAGGGCCGTGTGGCTGCAGGTTGTCTTTCCAACCAAACAGTAGCACAACAGACTCCATTCTTATCATCAAGTCATCATGTTCAAATTGGACTCCCTTGATGAGTTGACTGGAGTCTGGTGTGCTATTGCTTGGTTGGAAAGAAAACCTGCAGCCACACGGCCCTTTCTGGAACCAGTTTGACACCCCTGGTTTAGATGCTACAGATTTTACTGTGAGAAAAATCTGATATACTCCAGTTTGGTTAAACAATTAAACCTTAAAACCACTCCATTAACTAAGCCTCTGAGAGTCTCGGCCCTTGACGGTAAACAATTACCTCAGGTCACACACCAAACCAAGCCGTTAGAACTTTTGATCTCTGGTAACCACAGAGAGACCATCTCTTTTTTTGTATTTCCATCAGCCAGCTCATCCATAGTCCTTGGATTCGAGTGGCTTCAACATCATAATCCACACATAAACTGGTCTAAGAAACATGTTGAGTCCTGGTCTGCATCCTGCCACTTAACCTGTCTCTGCTCCGCCGCACCTCCGACTGAGTCTCCGGCCAGTCGTCAGGAGGCTGACTCGCCTGATCTTTCCTTAGTACCTCCTGACTACCACGACCTGGCACCAGTTTTTAGCACTTTCTCTCCCTCTGCATAGACCTTATGACTGTGCAATTGATCTTCTACCAGGGGCCCCTCTCCCTAGTAGTCAGCTCTATAATATCTCCAAGCCCGAGAGGGAGACCATGGAGAATTACATTAATGAGTCTTAAGCCGCCGGTATAATTCGACCTTCCTCATCTCCTCTCGGTGCCGGATTCTTCTTTGTTGGTTAGAAGGACGGATCTCTGTGACCCTGTATCGATTACAGAGGTCTAAAGCAGATTACAGTCAAAAACAAATACCCATTACCCTTGCTAGCATCAGCCTTTGAACCCGTCCAAGGAGCTACTGTGTTCACTAAGTTGGACTTGAGAAACGCCTATCATCTCTTCAGAATCAGAGAGGGACATGAATGGAAGACTGCATTCAAGACTCCTCTAGGTCAATTTGAGTATCTTTAATGCCTTTTGGTTTAACCAACGCTCTGAGAGATTTTTTAAACATATTCGTTTTTGTCTACATTGATGACATTCTGATCTACTCCAAAGACATCTCTGAACACAAGAAGCATGTCCGTTTGGTGCTTCAAAGACTCCTTGAAAACAAGCTATTTGTTAAAGCTGAAAAATGTGAGTTTCATCGTCCATCTGTCTCCTTCCTAGGATTTGTGCTCAAGGGCGGGCAGGTGAAGCCGTCTGAGGACAAGATCAAGGCGGTTCTGGACTGGCCCACGCCCGAGAACCGAAGACAACTACAAAGATTTCTGGGGTTTGCAAACTTCTATTGGAGGTTTATTCGCAACTACAGCCAGACAGCTCAGCCTCTGACTGCCTTAACTTCTGTTAAAAGGACATTTCACTGGTCTGCGGAGGCTGAGGCTGCCTTTAATAAACTCAAGGCTCTGTTTTCTAATTTCAAGTATCTGATTCTGACCAAAGAACTCATCCATGCTCGTTTCTCTCCCGTAGACTTTCGCCTACAGAGCAGAATTACGACGTCGGAGACAGAGAACTCCTCGCAATTAAACTGCCTCTGGAATCCCGTTCTGGTATAGACAGATCACAAAAACTTATCTTACATTCAGTCTGCTAAGAGATCTAATCCCTGTCAGTCCCGTTGGTCCCTGTTCTTCTCAAGATTCAATCTGATTATTTCCTACCGGCCTGGTTCCAAGAACATTAAACCTGATGCTCTTTCACGCCTGTATTCTCCTGACAAACCTGAAACTCCTGATTCTATTCTCCCTGCCAGCTGTACTGTGGCAACAGTCTCATGGGAAATTTCTGATCAGATAAAGCTGGCCCAAGTCTCTGAACCCGATCCTGGTAACGGCCCACCTAACAGAACCTATGTTCCTTCCTCAGTTAGATCCCGTCTCATCCACTAGATGCACTCTTCTAAATTTTCAGCTAATCCCGGTGTAAGCAGAACCATAGCTCTTATCTCTCGCTGTTTCTGGTGGCCATCCCTTCATAAGGACACAAAGGAGTATGTCCTAGCCTGTCCCGTCTGCGCTCGCAACAAACCATCACATCAACCTCCCTCTGGTCTTCTCCATCCACTACCTGTTCCATCTCGCCCCTGGTCCCACATCGCAGTGGATTTTGTAACCGGATTGTCTGCATCCCGAGGTATGACCACCATCCTTACAATCATTGACCGATTTTCTAAGGCCTGCCACCTTGTACCCCTCAGAAAACTTCCAACGGCCTTCCAGACAGCTCAGCTCCTCGTGAAACACGTCTTTAAGTTACACGGAATCCCCCAGGAAATTTTGTCGGACAGAGGTCCTCAATTCACCGCACAGGTCTGGAAGCATTTCTGTTCAGCTCTTGACACAAACATCTCTTTAACATCTGGTTATGACCCACAGTCAAATGGTCAAACTGAACGTCTCAACCAGGAATTAGAATCAACCCTCCGGTGCTTTACTTCTACCAACCCGATTTTCTGGGGCCAATACCTACACTGGGTAGAGTACACACACAACTCCCACACATCATCTGCAACCGGTCTGTCCCCTTTGAGATTTCCCTAGGATATCAGCCACCCCTGTTCCCTGCCGATGAAAAAGAAATCTCCGTTCCATCTGTTCAGCATCACATCCGCCGTTGCCACAAAATCTGGAAGGAAACCATTGCCACTCTGAACCGGACATCTGCCCAGAATAAGAAATTTGCTGACCGCAAATGACGCCCTGCTCCTACTTACACGCAAGGTCAACAGGTTTGGCTCTCCACACGCGACATCCCTCTCAAATCTATGTCCCGTAAACTCTCTCCCAGGTTCATCTGTCCTTACAAAATCGAATCCATCATCAACCCGTCTGCTGTCCGCCTGCATCTGCCACCATCACTCCGGATCCATCCTACATTCCACGTCTCCCAGATAAAACCTGTCCTGACCAGTTCTTTTTGCCCTCCGTCCGACTCCCCTCCACCTGCCCGGGACAATGATGGTCACCCTGCCTTCACCGTCCGCCGGATCATAGACTCCCGTCGCCGGGGCCGCGGCTGGCAGTACCTGGTTGACTGGGAGGGCTACGGTCCGGAGGATCGCACTTGGGTTCCTGGATCCTTCATTCTCGACCCTGCTCTGATTACCGAATACCGTGAGTGTCTGCCATCCACATCTTTTGGAGGCGGTTGTGAGGGGGGGGTACTGTTGGGATCTGGAGGTCTGTCCACTTTCTCCACCAGAAGGCGTAAGAGATCTCCTGGAGCCGGGGCTGATTGCACCACCTGTTCCTCATCTGCTCATCAGGAGATCCGTACTTAAGGAGGCGGAGGACTTCACTCCAGTGCCAGAGTGTTTGCCAGTAACGGTTAGCAAGCCTGAGCCAACCAGCCTGTCTGTAACTCTGACCCCCCGAGATCCGAACCTGATCTGTTTTCTCTCCTCTCTGCTCCTCAGATTGAACCTGCCTGAAACCTGAAACTCTGGAGAGTTTCTCTGCTGGTAATCTGCCTGTCCGTTCTCAGAAATTCTCTGGAGAACAGTTTCTGTCAAAGATCTGCCTCCGCCTCTGCCCTCTGCCTGCCGTCAGCCTCTGGACCCTCAAGGTTCCCCCCCTCTGCAGCTCTGCTCCACTCAAGAACAGGTACAGCCCTGACACACTCTCAACCTGCAATATTCCCTGGACCTCTGCTAAACTTCTCTGTCCTCCCCTGCAGTGAACCCACTTGTGACCAGTCTAACCACTTCCTGGATCTGAATAACCTGTGTGCTTTACAGAACTCTCTCGAGACCAGTCAAGCCTCTAACTGAACCTGATCCATTGTAGCACATTTATTATTCAATAAACCTTTTGAACTTTTTCTTCTGCAAATTCTTGTGAGATTTTGTTAGTAAAATAGATCGATACCGCGTCAATATATCAACATATAAAAATATGGCAAAATTTTGTGAATTTTCGGGGGATTTCGTAGCATAACGATGACATATAGCAATATTTCATTAGTAAAAGAGATTGATATGGTGTTTTTAAATGGCAATATATCAGTATATGAAGATATTGTGATATTTTAATGTATCAATATTTTTTCCCTTGTCTTTAGAAGTTTTTAAGTCCAAAAAAAGAAGTTTTTGAGGAAGAAGAAGAAGAACTAGTATTTTATTATATATTTTTTTAGACTTTAGAAACTCAGAAGCTGATCAAATATCGGGTTAAATATCGGTGTGGTGGCCGATGTCCGATATTCAGTTTTAAGTCGGATACAGGCCGATACCAATAGTGGGCCGATTATATCGGGCATCCCTAGTAGCTCGGCTTGAACAATGACAAAATAGGAGCAGAAAAAAAGACTAAGCTGTTCCCAGAAGGCTCAATGTTTTACTCATTGTTTCCTATTCATCATTTTTTAGCCTTTATGGAACTGAGTATCTGACAACAGATGTCCTAAAGTTTGTAATTTCTCTTTTCATAGTTTTTCCCATCATTCCTGCAATCACATATGCTGTTGCTCGTGGACTCTACTATAATGACAAGTGAGTTTAAACACATTTCCCTTTTTACAGTCTGTTTTTTAAAGTAATCTCACTAACACTTTTTTACAGACATTGTATTACATTTGTATTACAATTACATTGTATTTATGAATATAAGGTGGCAATTTGTGCTTGTATCAGTTTTTTCTACATAACAGTGGGTTTTTACTGTTCAAACGTTAACCTTTAGTCACACAAAGAAAGCAAACTTTTAGCAATTTATTTGCTCAGTGTTGAGGTAGAAAATACACTTTGCATTTATAACTGCAGCTTTGTTATTGCAAATGAATAAAGTTATGGTAGTTGTATAGTTAAACTCCCTGAATCAAGGTAACTAAAGACACATTGGTGACACACTGGGAATGATTTAGCAAGACATTTTTATGAATCTTTATGAGCTTTAACTTTTCTTTCTTTTGAAGTATAGTAAATAAAGATTGTTAATAAAAGCATTATTAAGACTCAAGCAGTATTATGCATGGTCCTTAAAGTAAGAACTGGTCTCATGAGGAAAGTGTGGAAGCTTGAAACCTTTAACTAAAACGGTCTGTTTCCTTTAGTTGTTGGATCGGTGCAGAAACCTACCTTCTCTACATCATTCATGGGCCCATCCATGCTGCACTCATTGTGAGTAGCTACTACTGAGGAGGTCTTTCTCCAGAGTGTCAATAATTTATTTATTGTTATTTAAACATGTGCTTCTCAAAAAATAATATTGGAGGCTTTATTTATCATTTTTTTGGAGGATAAATTTGGTGTTTTATTAGACCAGTGAGATGCTATTTGTTTTCAATCCAATACAATTAAATGAAACAAAGATGCATTGCATAAAAATTGTCAATGCATCAGCATATCCTGCCGTTGAAAAGTCAACTAATTCTATGCTGAGGCCAACACCTCCCCAGAATGGGGCTCCTAAAGGTCAGAGCAGCCCCAGGTAGCTGGACAATGGGCACCCCCCCTCTGGACTTGTCATCATATTCCAACTTGACATTTAATAAAGTATCAATGTGACTTAGGATGGTTTATTTTTAGCCCAGAGTCGTAACCTAGGCTCTAGGAAAGGTAGGTAAAAACATCTTGCTTTCGAACTTTGAACCTTATGTACTATTTCTTTAATCAGAGGTACGTGCAGATCTCTTTTCTATTAACGACTTTGTTGACTTTGCAGTTTTTTATTGATGCCTCATTAATATTATTCTCTTTAACTTGTGTCCCATTCAGGTGAATCTTTTCTTTCTCCTTAACGTCATCCGGGTCTTGATCACCAAGCTGAGAAAAACACACTGTGCCGAATCTACGACTTACATGAAGGCAGTGAGAGCCACCCTCATCCTGATCCCCCTGCTGGGAGTCCAGTACATCCTTTTGCCCTATCTGGGATCAGACAGTTATTCCAACCAAGTCATTTATTATCTTGTGTCTGTCCTTTCCAACTATCAGGTACAAACATTTATTTTTTTTAAACAAATTGTAATGTTGAGCTTCCAACAGGGAAGTGACTCTAAACACGCAGATTAAACTGTTCAGATCCGAGTTTATTCATGATTAAGAATGGCTCAGCTAAGACCAGAGCTGTTCACAGGCCCCGCCCCTTCCATTGGACTGAGCTTTGATCAGTTTGCTGAAAAGGCAAACATTTGAGCCTATAGCCATGCAAAGCGTGGAGATGCATCCCAGATTTTCGTGTATAATTGTTATGGAAGGTGGTTGTAGAAAGTGTGCGCTATAGCAGGCTAAATATAAATGCATATCTATCCAAAGAAAATGCCTAAAGCTTTAATCTGACAAAATGAAGAAACATGCAAGGAGATTAATTATTACAAGGCAATAAATTGTGTTTACATATTTTTTTTGTATTTGTTTGTAAACGTATTTCTCTTTTTTAGGGACTCTTTGTGGCCATTATTCTTTGTTTCTGCAATGCAGAGGTATGTTCAACTCCAATAATTGAATCTAATTTAACTTTATCTGACCTTACTTTTATGTGAAGTACATTTATGTACATTTACATGTTTTCAATCTTAAAAATGTCACACAAAAAAAGCTTAGATAATTATTTATTTTGACAGGGTGACACTTTTTATTCCTTAAATTATTGTTTTAGTTACATTTTGAAGTGGATATTTCTGCATGTTTGGCTAAGTATATAAAAAAAAAATCAAAGTAGAAAGTTTTTCAAAGCAGACAAGTATTTAAAAAAAAAAAAGCTGTTCTTCATTAAACAGAATATATTTCTGATAGGAATAGGATGAATGGATCTGCAGCTGCTTATAGGGAATCAGTAAGGATGTCGAAGGACTCTGCATTTCCCCCAGAATTCAATTTTGCAGAAAAAGGAGATGAGATTCATTAAATTGAGAAGGGAAAACTTCTCACCCACCCAAAACAGGGTTTATTATTCTCTCTGTGGCTTCAAATGAACCAGCTGGTTTCACAACCAACTGATTATATATCTTTAAACATGGATGAACATGGAAACATGAAGCACATTTACTCATTTATCCCTTTTATGCTAGAGTGAAGACCATGCTGAATGAAGGACGCATTATTTATTTAAGCCATATGTATAAATACATTTTTTAAAGTTAGTAAATATGACAATTTGGTTTGTAAAACAAGCCCAGAGGATCGCAAAGGGTAAATTAAGTTATGCATTACTTAGTATCAGGAGTGTATTTAGGAAATTTGGGGCCCTAGGCAAAGACAGGCAGGGGGCCCTCTGAATCCCCTCTGATAGAAGACAACACATAAAACAGACCCATTATACAGATGTAGAAATTTTAATAGAATAAACATACATTATTTGTTCTACGTTTTGTACCTCTCCTTGTCCCTTTTCTTGTTGTTTTACTTTCTCTGTTTTGTACTCAGCTGACTTTTCATCTCAAAAGAAATGAAAGATTTTTTTCCAATCACTAAACTCACTTAGCCAATTGCTCCTTCCTGTGTTTCCAAAAAGGCGACGGCAAAATTAAATAACAGAGTCCTCCTTTTCACTGTAGACAAGCCATGATCTGCTTATCTGTTCTCCATTTTTTTTTAGTATGAAATAATAGCTGCATGAATCATTATAGCAGACAAGATAGAGGAGAGCAGGCAGCAGGTTTTTCTACTTGATCTGGAGAACAGAGTTTGCTTGGTTTTATATATTGTTGCAAGAGTCTCCAGTAGCAGAAAAAAGTTGCTAGATTGGTGCTAGGTGCTTTTTTTTTTTTTTTTTTTACAAAAGTGCTAGAGGTGTCTGAAATATGGCGAGAAAAGTGCTAAGTTTTTTAATGGTTTCCTGCTGTCTGTTTGGACCTTTCTGAACATGTGCAGCAAATGGACTGATCCAATGTGGTGGACACTAAAGGGGGGGGTTTGACACACACTTATTATAAGCATTCTGATTGCATTTTACTGAGGATTTGCAGCAGCTAGTCACAAAGGACAGGTACAGAATAGTTGTATAAACCATACATGTAAACAGGTGTTATAGGGCCCCCAGGAACTTAGGGCTCTAGGAAAATGCCTACTATTGACTAATGTAAACCGATTAAACACTGTGGTGTGTAAACTATAGCCTCGTGAGACCATCCTGATCTCGCAAGCTTTCAAGGTTTCACTCGCTAATCAGTCTGGAGACTCTCCGTTAAAGAAAATTTGGAGCCGTTCACCAAACGAACGCCCAATCAGCGTTGGCTTTGAGGCGGGTTGAGGTGTGACGCAACGCGAAGCGCGACAGTTCAGTCTAAAGAACATGGCGGCTTCAGCCGATGAAACTAGCGTTAGCGTGGCTATCGAGCAAGTTTTATCCGAATTACAGAGTATTTCTTCACTGAAAGAAGAGCAAAACACTGCTCTGGAGGCTTTTCTCAGAGGAAAAGATGTTTTTGCTCTTCTCCCGACTGGTTTCGGCAAGAGTAGCCTGGCTGTAAGTACGTCATATGCTTCGTTAATCTGATTGGTTTATGTGGCCCGTCTATCACCAACACAGGCCAATCAGCTAACCAGTATTTTCGCCCCTTCCCAAAATTACTTCAACGGAAGGTTTCCAGATGGATATGCGGAGCAAATCCATCTGGCGGAGTCAGGTTATGTAAACAAAGGTTAAAACCTTAAAAACATTTTTAAAGAAAGTGGAAACCAAATTGGAAAAATTTAAAATAAAAACAAAAAACTGTGGAACATTGGTTTGAATTGTGATGTTCTGGATGTGTAGGTCCAATCAGCACTGCGCAGGAAGTGGGCTCAGTGGACGGTCGCCTGGGGGAAAACCGGCTGGGGAGAGACATCCTTCGTCAGCCATCACTTACACTTCCACACCAACTCCTCCATCACGGAAACCAGCCGTACCACTGGGAGCGTGTTGGTCCCAGTCAGTGGGTCGTCTAACCCACAAACAGAACATTTTCACCTCATGTCTTTAGAGCAAAGAGCCAACGGGCAGGAAACGCAGGATAAAGACGCACTCTGAGACCTCTGAATGGATAAGCAACGCAGATGATGGTGATGGAGTCCAAAACTCACACCAACTAAAGATCCTAACATCTGAAAAAACGAGAAATCAGAAATTATTTTGCAAAGTTAATGAGAGCGATTGCTTTGTATGTACATAAATTATAGTGTATAAACAGTTTAACTGGTATTTTACAGTAACAGTAAAGTCGTGCAAGAAACAGACATTTGATATTAATGTGCCGTTTTAGCATTTTTTTCTAAATAAAATAGACCTGTATATTTTTTTGTCTCTTTAAGGTTTCTTTCATATAATCTGGAGGATTTAAAAAAAAAGTTCTACTAAAAAAAATGTTTGTATCCTGTGACATTAAGGCGCTTTTACAGACAGAAGTGTTCCTAATATTGAACCTTTTTACGTGTTCACTTTTTGCAGCTAAAACCTTCAGTGGATTTCAATGTAACAGATAAAAAAAACTAATGCATAAATGTGCTTAAAACATCTTAAAGTGTGACTTTGCCTGATGTGAAAACAAATCCTAAACCTGGAAGTTTGAGCTAAGTGAGTTTTTTTTAAGGAAAGCATGGATAGCACCAGATTCTATCATTTGAACCAGAAGAAAAAATCCCCTTCAGTAGCCACCAAGTTTAATTAGTTTAGATATTTTTGTAATACTCAATAAATGTTGCTTTTTAATTTAATTCAAAATTACTTTATTCCCAAAGGGAAATTAAATGTTGTAACTCATAGGGTTGTTGTTGATGTTAATAGTTGTAGGCAGGAAGCGTCTCCTGTAGTGGTCTGTCCTGCAGAGGATCTAGAGAAGCCTCTTACTGAAGACACTGATGTTCTTAAACAGGTTGATGAACAAGATGCTCACTGGCGTCCTTAATGTTCTTCACTTTATGAAGAATTCTTTGTTGTAAATCAGCTTGTTGAGCTTTTTTTTTACACTCTCCACTAAAGACGAGAGAAGATATGCAGCATCTTTCTGCAAACACTGAAGGACCTAAGCTTTCTTAAGAAGTAGAGTCTGATCCTCCCTTCTTCTAGATTAATTCACAGCTGTGTCTCCAGTCGAGTGTACTTTCCAGGTGAAGACTGAGGTATTTATGCTCCTCCATCACCTCCACTTCTTGTATTTAAAATCTATTGATTTGTTTGTTTCTTCTAAAAACTTTAATCATCGCCTGTGATTTATTTATATGTAGAATTATATGGTTGTTTAATAAGATTTTCCATCAATGAAATCAAATAAATTATCAGTATAGGATCAAATTAAATAAAAATAATTTCCCTTAAAAGTATGCACTACTTTACTTCCACTAACTATATATATATATATATATATATATATATATATATATATATATATAAAACCCTAACTGGAGTAAAACCTGTAAGATTCTGCAAAAGGTTAAAAGCAGACAGCAACATCTGAATATCCGACTCTGACCTGTAACCCAAGAAACAGAGACGTGACTAACTGCCGTAAAACAGTCTTCCAATGACTTTTATGCCCATAAACTATTATGGAAAGCTGTAATATATTCCCTGGTAACCAAAGGAGCCACCGTATGCTGACTTTTAGAATTAATTATTAGAAAGAACTCAATGCAAGTCATGGACATGGACATTTTGTACATGAACAAAATGATAGCCGGTCACAGAAACAAGTGATGCACCCATCAGGAATTGGGGATTGGTTCCTGATATTTTTCTGTAAAGCTGTAATTTAGTACGATATAACAACAACACAAAGCGATCATCAATTATTTATCCTTGGAGCAAAAACAACATTGTGCTAGTGCACAAAGGAGTGAAAAATGGAACTCACTCTTTATTCAACGCTTTTAGTGTCCCATGCTAGCAATTTGTAAAGTTAGCATTTCTAAAATCATAGTTTAGGTTTGTATATTCTAAAGATTTGAGATCCATAAATGTTCAACCTATCATATTCCAGCCTATTGTTGGGCACATAGGCTGACAGCTCAAAAGAAAAGCAGCTACGCTGTTCTCTGTTTAACCTTCCTGTTATCAGTTATAAGTCTGGCTCTCTCTTTCAGCTTTAAATGCTGATTAGTCAGAAATTTCTTTCAAAACAAAATTTCCTTTTAAATACTTTGTGTCTATATCTCCCCTCTGGCTTCTTTTTAAAGATCCAACTAACGTTTAAAATAGCTGAGAATGAAGTCTTCACCTTTCAGCCACAGCATCCCTATCACAATCTGTATTTTCTGCACAAGCTTGGTGGGTTCACTGATTCAAGAGGAGCATTTCAGCTCCTGACTGGACGGTCACCTGTCCTGAAGCTGGGAATCATCCGATTCTGGTCATCATCCATTTAATATTAGAATCCGAAAATAAACCTCATTAACATTAGAAGGTACCCAATAAGAAGCTGTTAAGTCCTCAACATATGTGGTCTTTGTTTCACAGTTAAAACAAGGTGGAGTTCCTTAAGTAGTTCTTCTTTTTATTTCTCATTGATGTTGAATGAAAACTTGTTTTGTGTGCATGTGGATATTATATGTAAATGTAACTTTTTTTCCAAGACTAATGGTTAAAATATTGGTGCTTAATTGTAAATTTGATATTTTATTTGAAGCCTGGATTAATCTGCAAACTGAAAAAAATGCATCTTTTTGCCATAAACTGAGAAACTTTAGTTATTATTTGATGCAGAGAATGATCAGTTTGTTTAAAAAGGAGGCTGTTTTCTGTACATATTCAGGAACAATGCGTTGCATTAAGGTGAAAGTTAGGGGAAGGTGGGTGAATGGAATAGAGTTTTTTATTATTATTTTTTTGCATACCTGCCCTAAGTTAGGTAACCTAAGTTAGGTTTTGCTGAACAATGATTTTCTTTCACTTCTTCCATCTGTCTGGACTTTTATAATCCTCCAAATGTTGTTACTATTGTATTACTTCTGCTGGTTTGTATCTTAACTGCAAACTGTCATTGTACAAATCCCAAAAAACTGAATTTATGTGAAGATTTATGTGATGTCTTTTTGTCATGCTGTATGTACCCTGCTGGGCTGCAGTACCAGCCCATTTTCAACTTTTGTTTTATAACTCCAGGAACATTGACCAGTTTGCTCCCACTGGAAGATACAGCAAGAGTTTGAATGAAATCTAAACTATCCAGTGTAGACACTGAAGGAAAGACATGTGTGGTAAATGCTCAATAGCTGTGGCATACCACAACCGCTCTGGAAATGATAACACTAATGACTGTGTGACACATTGCATCAGGTAATTTTGATCAGAACTCTACAGCAAGGAAACTGATTTAGGAAGCATTGCAAAGAAAAAAATGCACATCTTGCTTTATTTAGACTGCTTATGTTGCAAAACTGCAATGAATGTGTGTAAGTAAAATTCTTGATATACAAGCTGAGGTGTTTTTGCATTCAAACTAATCCTTACCGTGATTGCCGCCAATTAGATCCTTGCAAACCTGAAGAAATCGACCAGTAAGTGAGCGGTGGGATACGGGAGCAATTGCTTATTCAAGTGATATGTTGCTAACCTGTTTTGGTTTTTTAATAACATCTTTTTCTCCCGCACTACTGAAAGGTCATAAAAGGTGCAAGCTGCATATGGAGGCATAGCTAGACTTCTATTACTAAGGGGCAGAGGGGGGCATGGCTATATCAGAAATATTCCGTAGACCACTGGTCCTCAAGTCTGTCCTGCAGCTTTAGCAGGCATCCCTGCTGCAACACACCTGAAACAAAAGGCAAAAATTGCCTCCCTTTTGTTTCAAGTGTGTTAAGGAAGGGATGCATGGAAAAGCTGCAGACAAATGGCACTTGAGGATGAATTGCTGCTTAGGACAATGGGTTAGTTGCCTAAACAATCATCTGCAATTGGAGTTTTTGAATTTGAAATGAAATACATTTGCATTCATGTAAGCTGAAATTGGGAATGATTTCTGTGTTTAATAGGAAGTTTATAAGCAGTATATTAGAAATAAACCACAACTTTGCACTTTGCAGCTCATAAGTGTATTTATGAACGGAGGACTGACTAATTGCAGAAGGTCACGATTCCCAACATTATGCGCTTGCATTTAAAAACAAATGTAGAATATTGCATTTTTGCATTTATAATCATCGTTTCTCTTCTCTGCCCGTTTTTTCAGCTATCATTGTTCTTGCATTCTTTTGATCCTATAAAATAAGCTTCTTTTTAACATCACATCTAAAAATGTTTGCCATCCTTTCAGCAGTTATTGACTAATAACATATTTCACTTATTTCATAAAATGTACAGTAAGTTCTTCCTCTAATTGGGTGGACTGTAAACCTGTTTGTTACATAGGACCAAAGTAATTGATTGATTAAATGATTTTATTGATCTCACATTGGAGAAATGCACTCATCATTGTTTTATTTTTATTTTGTTTTTCATTGGGTGCGATACATGTACACTTGCACCTTAATCTTATTTATCTTGATATACTGTATATACCTGGATATACTGTATATATATTGTTTATTCTTAATGCACCTTTTTCCTCCCTGTTTGCACCTTCTGTAACTTCTATGCCAATATGTGACGAGTGAATTTCTCCACTGTGAGATCAATAAAGCTCATCTAATCTAATCTAATCTAATCTAATTATATCAGCTCAAATAGTCAAAAAGAAGAAAAAGATGCATGGGGTATATACAGTGACACATTGTGTCACTATATATATATATATATATATATATATATATATATATATATATATATATATATATATATATATATATATATATATATATATATATATATATATATATATATATATATATAAAGCTATTGCACTGGGTATCAATTTTAAGGAAACAGATTATTACACAAGGTATTAAATAGTAATTGCAAGTAACCGGTTACATCTACTCAGTTTAGATGTAACTAAACTGCAGAAAATTAGAAAAATACACGCAGGAAATTTAGCAATTGAAAAATTAGGAATGCAAAGCAAAAGTACGAGGTCCCACCGAGATTTGAACTCGGATCGCTGGATTCAAAGTCCAGAGTGCTAACCATTACACCATGGGACCAGATGATATATTGATGACAGAGTTTTCCAACTATATACATTTACCCAACATCAGTCTGTGGTAGAAATTGTAGGGATGTGGTTGACCAGTTTGCTATGGTATGGAATAATTCCACACTTCTCTAACCACCTTAATAGCAGACGTCACAGGATCTGTTTTGTTTCATAAAGCCGTTTGGCCTAGCTGCACTATTAGCATTTTTTGTGTAGAGCGCACGGCTCCTA